CTCTCTCTCTCTCTCTCTCTCTCTCTCTCTCTCTCTCTCTCTCTCTTTCTGCCTCTCTTTCAGTCTCTGTCCCTCCCTTGGCCGAGCTCCTATGTCGGGGCCCTGTGGCAGAGATAGAGATGTTAATTTTACATGGCGACACATTGGAGAATTGGAGCGCCAGTGCAGAGAAGGCCTCAGTCAGATAAACAGATTTAAAGTTTCAAACAGTTTTTAAAATGTTGTTAGAATATTCCAGCGAATGTCTGACAATTTGAAGTGTTTCATTTTAAAATGGAGCTTGACACCACTTATAAATAGTGACAGCTGTCCTTAAAAGATGATTGGCAGGCCAACATTGAGCAAAATTATTATGTTCCTATCCCAAAGAGCGTTGAAGAGATGATGTTTTTGGATGGCAAGGAAACAAAAGTTTTACTTAACTTTAGAGTTTTAAGATGTTGATTGGGGACAGTTGTTCCTCAGTAAATACATATTGTAAATGGATGTAAATTTTGAATAATATGTGATCATTGTTTGCTCAAGTCCCTCTTGTTATACAGGAAGAAATAGCAATGAAAAGATGCTTTATACTCTTTCAAATACATTTAAAGATTCCTTGTCCATGTTGGCTTAAAAGCCAATTTTCATCATGTATCCTGCACTTTAGAATCAGCAATTTAGTTATTTGTGTTTTGACAAATTGTCAAGATGGCCTGAAGTGCATCTTTTTAATATATATGGGTGAATAATAACTGAAGTATTGAACAACGTAAGATGTCATTAAATGTAGCTTGTCATTGCCATAGATTCTATAAATATTTTCTCTCTCATTTGGAGTTTGAATAACAGTGGTGGAGAACTGTATCCAACATATGATCTTCAGCAGGCTCACTTGGGTTGAGATCTGGTGACTGAATCATTTTCATACTCATTCAAGTGTTCAGCGACACCTTTCATCCTGTATGAGAGCAGCTGTATTCATTAAGGTAATAAACTCATTTATTGTGTTTTATGTTTAACATTTTAGGAAATAGGCTTTTTTACTTCAATAACTGACATGGTAGCTACCACTGTCACATCTGTCTCCTAATTGTGAATCTACATTAAGGACACAGTTAGCTGACAGAGAGACTGGAAATGTTGAAACATCTGGCCTGACTTAGTCTGACAGTAGTGAAATGTGTCTATGCTTCTAAAGCTCACTAATTAGTACATTTTAATTTGTTTGTTCAGTCCATGCAAAAGCCAAAGTGTAACTGTAGTTATCAGTTTGTTTTTTGTACAGATCCAACAAACAAGATCCATATTGATTATTGAGCTTTAGAGGTGGATTTTGTTGCCTTAAGACTGATCCATAGACAGATGCATACTAGTTTCTTAGCCCAGTCTTTGTAAAGCTAAGTTGACTGGCTGCCAGTTGAATGAGAATAGTCTTTTCAATAGTCTTCTCATCCAATTATTGGCAAGAAGGCAAATAAATGGCTTTCCTGTTTCATTAATATTGGCCTAACTTCACCATCACACTAATGGGCCAAAACATTTACAAATGAAGCAAACAATGCTTTATCTCATACCAATAGAACATGTCATGGCCTGGGATATGAGCAATACTGAGTGAACAGTCAGTCTTCATATTTAACATGCAGGATACTGGAGAAGAGGGCAGGTGTACAGACCTGAGCAACCTAGACAAGATCTAGACTGTTATGTGTGAACTGGATGGGAGCACAATGAACTAGCAGGACTGCAAAGTGTTCCTGAACAGCAGTGGTGGTGAAAGGACAGACAAACCATGAACCATTGACAGAATGTTGGAGATGTGCTGGAACATGTCTGATCAACAGCAGCTCAAAGTCCTAACTTTCAGGGATTAAAGGATCTGCTGCTGAGGTCATGGTGCCACAGGACACCTTGGCTCTCCCCCTCTTGTGCCAATACACACAGTAGCTTAGCATTACAGCTAAATCCTAAATACTAGTTTATCCAAATAGTTCATTTTGGCATTATTCCGTTACTGTCAGTGATATTCATAGTGGCAGTTGTTCAGCAACACTTAAGTTCCACTCTAAAGTTCATCCTGAAGGATTCTGTAGAGTCCATGCCACAGTTGGTCTGAGGTGGTCTCGATGTTCTGATACATCAGTGTGGATGAACTGGCATTAGAGCCATAGAAGACATGGTCAAAAGTGGCATGAGAGAGAGAGCTTAGTCTGAAGAGGCTAAAGGTCAGTTTTGACCCGTTGAAGTGGCCAGTGTTGTTCTAACTGACCAGTGCTCTGTCCTCTGTGGTCTGAACAGTCAGCCTCTCTATCCCATCCTGTCTGTGGGTCTCCCCCTCCTCCAGCTCTGACAGCTCCTCTGGGGGTTATTAGGCAGATCTTATCACTTCAACCCCACTACTCCTCCTCCCCTTTGCCCTCTTCAGCACCAGCAATCAGATGGTAAAGGTCAGATTTATTCCACATAGCGATGAAGCTACCTAAACAGCTTCTAACTGCATATGCCAGCTGCTATATTTTTTTTGACAATGTTGCTTGAATTAAACATTGACACAATAACCTGTGTTGTTAAGCCAGCTCCTTCCTCGGTCTGGACAAATGACACCAATTTAAAGAACTTTAAGATGGGACTTAAGTGTTGCTGAACAGCTGCCACTTTGAATATCACTGACATTAATGGAATAATGCTAAAATATACTGTTCAGGTAAACTAGTGTTTTGCATTTAGATATAATACTGAATTAATGTAACATTAGTGCAAAGATACAAAGTACAAGATAAAAAAATAAGACAAGATAGGATAGAACTTGATGAATTTCAAAGGAAATTCTTGTGTCAGATATGCACTAAGAAAAAAATACAACACTATAAAAATAAACCAAGCGTGGTGATTGTAAAGTATAAGCTAAATGCTGCCTTATAGGATAGCAATAAGTATGATACATTTAAGCCCTTTTAGCAAAAATAAGTTTCCTATATCCTAAAATTGAAGCTATCACACATGCATACAGCATATACATTACCCAATGTAATTTGTCTTCAACTTATACAAATGAGATATTATAAGTAGACTATAAATGCTTGAGCTGTGAAATCACAGTAACCTTCCTAATAATGACCAATGTGGATATTCAGAAGGGAATTAAACACATGAATTAAAGCTTTTCTACCAATTTTCAGTTTTCAGTAGCTTGTTTGCCTGTGATGATCCTGAGCTGGAGGTTACAGAGTACACATCTGTTTTTTTTTTTAAGCCACTACATAAATGGCACTCTGCTGGGAAGCTGTTAGTGCCGTCTTGCTTTCTGTATTTTCTTAGTATAGTCTGTTTTTTGTTAACGCTCCATTCATGCATCCCTGACTTAA